CCTCCTTCATAATAGCTGAGCTTTCCTCCAGTATTTTCTTGTTCTTTTGCCGCATTAGTACATATTTTCTTATCTATGTCACCATAGAAGGCCTTCTCTAGGTATGTCAGAATCAGAATACCTTTATTAGTCCCACAGAGGGGACATTTGCTTTTGTTACAGTAAGAAAAGAGCCAAAGACAGCTTAAAGGTCACTTTTTCATGTCTTTTCTACATAAACATGTGTCCCCTCTGTGTAAAGAGATTCTGAAAGTTTCAGGAAAAAAATATTCGCTCTGTTTGTCCTGATCCATTTATATAAAAACCATGAGCTGATCAGATTTTGGCCACTTTATGATGTCAAAACGTTTTTTTGGCCTCTGTAACAATTAGCCAATAACCATCCAAGGTGACACCCCCCCCCCCCCCTGCTTATCACCTGAATCTCCGATATAGAGAAACAATAAAAAAATTACACAATTTACAAAATATACAACAGTTCTGAGACATAGCAGTCAGGTATATATTGCACAGTTATTAACGGCATATATATATATTGCACATATTGCACATAATTGGTATGTGAACAGTAAACAGTTCTTTCCTTTGGTAAGCTACATTCGTGACCCTCATGGGACAAATTGACATAACTAAAGGTGCAGGGGATATTTGCTTTGCATAATTTTGTAAGACTGCTAAAATTATATATAATATTAATATAATATTTTTAACATTCTATACTGTGTTGTTTATTAGAGGTTTTTATTTTACATAGTACACTATATTGTTTTTTTGTACATTTAAGACTTACTATACTATGTTTTATTATTGCATATTTTAAACATACTAAGCTATGTCACTTTTTTGGCATATTTTCGACATATGTCATTTTTATGCATTAAAATAATGCAAAAATGCATTAAAAGTTAGGGGAAAGAAGGTGGATGACTTTTTTTCAACATGCTATATTATGACTTTTCTATCATTTTGAACATTCTACACACTATACCGTTTCTACACACTATACCGTGCCTTATTTCGACATAAAATACCATGTTTTTTTTGCATTTATTGAATTGTTTCGACATGCTATACTATGACCTTTTTGTCATTTTTTTCAACATGCTATATTATGACTTTTCTATCATTTTTTACGACAAACTATACCTGGTTTCTACACACTATACCGTGCCTTATTTCGACATAAGATACCAAGTTTTTTTTGCATTTTTTCGACATGCTATTCTATGACTTTTTTTCAATGTTTAATGACATACTACGCCTGGTTTCTACACACTATACCGTTTCTTATTTTAACACAAAATACCATGTTTTCTTTTGCATTTAATGCATTTTTTCGACAGAGTATATTATGTGTTTTTAGTAAAAAAGATCGACAATGCTATGACTTTTTTTCTTAAAATATCGACATGCTATACTATTACTTTTATTTCAGAAAATATCGACATACCATGACTTTATTTCAACATACTATACTATGACTTTTTTTCGACATACTATACTATGTGGTTTTTTCAGAAAAATATCGACTAACTACTATGACATTTTTTTTTGACCGATATATAGAGACATTTTTTACAACACATTTACTTTTTTTGTACAACTATACTATGACACTTTTATTGACTTTCTTTTCTATCACTTAATTTTATAAGTTGTTTTGATGACATATATTCTATATAGACTATATTATAATTTTGTATTTATATTATTATGTATATTTATTAATTAACATTTTTAATGTCAATCTTCATTCTGTTTTTCTATGAACTTTTTCCACATCTATATTTTGAACTTTGATGATTTATTTTGTGGCATATTATAGAGTTTTCACTGTATGGCTTGTGTATGTCATGATTGAAAACACATTTTTAGAGCCGTTAAAACAATATTGAGCATGTTTTTTAAGCTGTTAAAGAACACCCGTTGCTTCTACAATACCAAATAGAACATTTTTGCGTTGTCAACCCACCTTTAAAAGCTGTAAAGCCGCCTCAACAGTGATTTTTGTAAAGGTATATAAGGAATATAATTCTTCACCAACCCTACCATTCATGTCCAATACCCTGGTTAATACCTGCAAATTACAGACAATCAGAAAACAGAAAAAAATGATTAGATTCAGAATCATAATACCAGGAAATTAGGTTTTGTGACAGTTGCTCCATTTTAGAATCAAATAATTAAACGATAATAAAAAACAGAAGGGCAGTGAACGGGGCTTTTAGGAAGGCCACTTCACACCGTCCTTCTCCTGATGTAGCTATAAAAGGAATGTATATCTGCCATCTTTGTAAATTCTCCTCAGAAAATATAGAATGTGTCAGCACAGCCCCTTGAGAAGCTGATGTTTTTCCAGTGTAGGCACGAGGAAACAGCAGTGCTACAGCTCAGCACATGGTTGGACCACATGAAGGCATTATTACGCCATATTCCTCCGTTGTTGTTTGACTGAGACATATTTCCAGACGGCTGCGGCAGGAGATGAGGGATATGCTACGAGCGAAAGAGTCCTCGCTCTCGCTGCCAGCACCGACCCTTTCATAATCGCCCAGGAATTAGGCACATCCCAGTTAGAGCACTGGTAGAGTGAGTTATGGCTGCGGTGGTGTTTCCTGAGAAGCCTGCCAAAAAGATGATTTAGATAGATCACACGTCTGGGGTCTGAGGTTCCTCGGACACTGTTTAAACACAAGTCTTCATTCTGAGGACAGAGGAATGTGAAGGGTGCAGAGTGAAAAACCCATCACCTAACAGTGACATTTCCAACATGGCAACCGTGACAGACAATTTATGGCTCATCTCTGACAAAGACTTGGACATTTGAGCATAACCAAAAAGACGACTTTTTCTTGATCATTTTACAAGCTGGCACTTTGAGTTAAAGATTATACAGCATTGCACCATGCAACAAACTCACTTGATTTCACTTAAAAAAGTCCTTTATTTAGTTTAATACATAGGGCGGTTTGTAGTGAAATATGTATACATTCAGCTTTACAATTCATACAGGAATTTTCCCACCAAATTCCTTAAATACACACAATTTACAAGGTATACATGTTTCAACATATTTCTGAAGACATAAGACAGCTATACCAGTTAAATAAGTAAAAGCCTACTTCCTTTTTGTTTAGTTATACCATTCATTTCCAATGGTATGCAATGTTTTACTTGCAGCTAAATATAAGTTAAAGTATTTATAGTAAAAAGCCTCTGAAGGCCACTCACTGGACAAACAAACAAATAAATGGCACGCAGAGTTTCCCATGCAATTAAACGATATTTAAAAAAAATGGTGATAAGACATGCTTTGTGTCCATGTCTTTTTCACGATCCCTGTTTCACTTTCAGAACGACGTTTCCCAGAAGACAGACCAGCACTCAAATACTACAAACATGGTGAGAGGTCGGGGGTACGTACATTTACAACTGCTTCTCAGATGCAAACAGAGATAGGAGTACTGTCAAATCCATTAGCACTGGGAGCACACAGCGTTTTCTTTGATTTTCCAAATTCAGTGGAAACACCCTTATGACTCACTGCCCCGTTTAATATTGAACACTTTTCCTTTGTGTCTGTCCAGTCGGAGGGATCCATATGAAAAACCATAGTAGTGTTATTACTGATATTATCTGTCTGAGTGAGGAGGTGCCAGTAGGTCGCACTCCATTAAAGCAACTCGTTACAACAAAGGCGTGCAATTTTAAGAGGTTCCGTCTTCTTCGGCACCCAGTGGAAAGCTCGCTGGTGCCAATCTCTTTGATTTATGCACTCTTCAAAAAAACACACCAAAAGTTTGAAGTCCCAAGTCAATAAAAAGTTGTAAAACGTCATTCCAGACAGTTGGTAACTCTATTAGGTTCTGAAGAAATGAGGCAGTTGTGTGAACAACACATGATACCAAGCCTTTAGCCTCTAGTGCTGAGAGGGAATACAAGACGGCTTGGCGTGATAAGCTTCTCCATAAGCAACAGCGTAATGTTCATAGAGTCTGGGGGCAGGATCAAGCACAGGACAAGGGGGGGGGGGACGACGACGACTAACGCTGAGAAAAGTCGGCCCTGCTTTGATACAGATGTGCTTACTAAGGCGAGGTGCTCCGAGGACAATAAGCATGCTGTAGACAAGACAGAGCCCTCGGTCAAATCTGTGTTTCCATTCTCATTATCATACTGCAGACATCGAGCCATGAGCCTGACTCACTTTGGTTTCTACTTTGACTCATTTCACTGCCCTGCTTCATTTCAATCCAGTGGTGGAAAAAGTACTCAGATCCTATACTTTAGTCAAATTAGTAATAACACCGTTTACAAATACTCCATAAGTAAGTCGTGAGTTCAAAATGTTACTTTAGTAAAAGTAGAGAAATATCACCAGCAAAATGTACTTAGAGTAACTAAAGTGCTGATTTTGCAGATTGGCTCTCTTTTCTTATTGCAGAGTATTATATTATTCTGTTTTAATAACTTGTAAATACATTTAAGAGTTTTTTTGTTTGATTTTAAAATTGGAGCACATTTTGAATATTTTGTGTTCTATCAAGTGGGTTAGTAGTTTATATAAACACGTCATGTTAATGTAAAAAGTAACTACATCAATTATTTTGTTCTTTCTCCTAGATGAAGTTGAGTAGAAGAATAGAGTGGCAGAAAATAAAGTTAAGTGCAGAACATAAAGTTAAGTGCAGAACTTGATTCAGTACATTCCACCACTGTTTCAATCCTCTGTATGAATTGAGAATGGTTAACATTTTGACCAAGGACCAAAAACTGCAAAAAAAACGAACTCAAAACAAAACAGAGGAGAGAAACTCACTCAAATCCCATTGAGAGGAAGGCCGAGCTGAATTTGCATTTTTAGCGCAGCGTTATTAGAAAGTGTGCAAAAGTCTGTGAGGACACAGGTAGTGTGTGTGTGTGTGTGTGTGTGTGTGTGTGTGTGTGTGTGTGTGTGTGTGTGTGTGTGTGTGTGTGTGTGTGTGTGTGTGTGTGTGTGTGTGTGTGTGTGTGTGTGTGTGTGTGTGTGTGTGTGTGTGTGTGTGTGTGTGTGTGTGTGTGTGTGGATGGGAGACCTCCACTGCCTTCATGTCTGAGGAGGGAGCTCAGCTCAGGACAGCACACAGTGGGGGGGGGGGGTTTGGCTGTGTGTGTGTGTATCTGCATGCGTTGTCTAGACCAGGGAGCAGAAGCCGCCACAGCTTCCCCCCCCTGCGTCATCGTCGGAGAGCTGGACCCCTCGGCCGTGGGTCTCGCTCTGCCATAACCCCGGGGTCTGGATGATCTTCTCCACCAGCTCCTCGAACGCACACTGGACACCGTCACGGGTCTTCGCACTCGCCTCTGCAGAGAGAGAAACAAAAAGGAATAAAGGACAGATAGAGAAAATAAAAGAATGGGGCTAAACAAGACGAGTTGGATGGAATGGATTAAAGAAGAAAGAGGACTGTTCATGTCTGCATCTTGATATCATCAAATGCTAGGCTCGGAGCGGGGGGGGGGGAATGGTGGAAAATGTCTCAACAATAACTGTCAACCCCCGACACTAATAGTGAACCTTAGGAGGTTAGTAGTCAACACCTGCTCCACAACATGATGATACCCAGACTCATTAAGATGCTAATAAGACATCAATCTTAGTTACGAAATCTAATCAGAATGAATGTAGAAAATACCTAGGAGAGCTTTAGATTGGACATTTTAACTAAATATTTTAATTGAAAAATGTTTGATGAAGACAGAAACTAGAAATGCAAGCTCTTTTAAAAATCAAAAACACCGGGCGAATAAGAGCGCATGGACGATGATATATTAAGCCCGTTTTATGAATAGAGCAATGCATTCCTCAGAAACTATGGTAGTTATTTCAAAGTCGTTTCCCCGGTGTAATGGCCTGCTGTAACTCATGCCCAGCAGCCCTTTGTAGAGCGGGGAATCCTCCCGACTTACCTATAAAAAGCATGGAATGTTTTCTTGCAAACTTCAGCCCCTCGGCCCGGTCTAGATCGTGGTTTTCCTAAAACAAAAGAGAGGTAATGGCTTATTCCAGGTCTGCCGGGCGGAGCCGTCAGCTGCTGTGGTCGTCACAGAGGAAAAGTGAATTTCACAGACAAAGAACAGGACACAAGACATTCATAATGCTCTACTTAGTGGGCATTTCATCCTGGTGTACTGGTGAAGGAAGGAGCAGCTGCCAAAATATGAAAGTGAGTCTGCCACGGTCAGTTAGCTCTGTAATTTGTCAAATGGCTGTAAGATGATTTTTAGTTAGTTTAGTAATATTTAATTTCCTGTTCTCTGAAATACATGTTTATAGTAAAAGAAAAATTATATATAATGAATTATGCAAAACCGCTCACCTTATCGATCTTATTTCCAACAAGCATCTTCACGAGGTCGTTCCTCGTGCAGTACGTCTCCAGCTCATTGAGCCAGTTGTCCAGCTTGGTGAAGGTTTCCCGTCGTGTGACATCATACACTGTGACAAACCACATGCAGAATAGAGTTTCAGAATAAAGGCATACACACACTGTACATGTTCTAATACGATTATTTGAGGTGCTGATTAAGACCACATGAAAGGCATTTTTTCTATGAATCCATGTTTTAAACATTCTTATGCTGCACAAATATCCCATTATTAGACATATACTCTATCAAAAAAAGACTAATATTACTTTTAACCCTTTATTCTCTGTAGTGATTATGGCTTTCAATTTAAAAATAACACTTGATTGCTGTTTTATTGAAAAGCACAGACATAACACTTAACGTCCGTAATCCTGAGTTATTTCAACATGTAAAAAAGGGAATAATACAACAAATTAAGATCAAAATAACCACCTAAAATAAAAAGGTATTAACGTAAAAACACATGGTAGATCAAACTAAGGGACTAAAGCCTTGTCATATCAGATGGGAAGCGATCATAATCCCAGCGTTAGAGCAGGGCGCCTTGTGTTTCTATACATCATTAGAGCGGTCAGAAACCGTAAGCTGCAGAGGAAGTCTGTTTAAGAGTTTTAACTAAGTTCCTGCGTGCGTGTGTGTGTGTGCGTGCATGCGTGTGTGTGTGTGTTCATATACATGCTGTACATGCATGTCCATATGTGAAGTCTGACTTAAGGGCATAAACTAACTTCCAGAGAGAAGAGGCTACAAAGTGTGCATGTGTGTGGGTCACAGGATGAAAAGCCATCACTCTCTTAACAACCAGGAGCCTGACCTGCCTGATGGAGCACACACACGTACGTACGTACGTACGTACGTACGTACACACACACACACACACACACACACACATTACAGGTGTTGGAGCAATGATGGCGTCGACGGCTCGGCTTACCCAGGATGACTCCCTGGGCTCCGCGGTAGTAACTGGGCGTCAGGGTTCGGAAGCGCTCCTGTCCCGCCGTGTCCTGCAAAACACAAGCAGCTCAGCTCTGAGACACTCGCAGGGAAATCGGGACGCTCCAACAGAGGGAAAAGCAGGGCGGAGGGGACGTAAACAACAAGGCCGACTCCTCTGAGGGGAGCACGGAGGCAGGAGCGGTGTTACATAAGTGCCATCTACTGGCCACTGGAGGGAACATTCAGATAGGGGTTAGGAGATGGTTAATCTCTCTCCTCTAATTTACAGATAAAAGCCATATTTTAGTTTGAGGGGTGACAAGAGAGAGTAGAGCAGACACTTACCCATATCGCCAGCTTTGCCTTGTTTCCGTCCACAGAAATGGTCTTCACTTTGAAGTCAACACCTGTCAAATAAAAACAAAAATCAGTCGGTAATCATGCAAAATAATTATGAGAATCTGAATACTTTGCAGGAAATATAGGTTGCTCCATTATATAATTAATTCAATAAAATATTTAAAAATAAAGAACAAATATAAGTTAAAGTAAGAATGAGCAATAAGAAGATTAAATATTAGTATTAATAGGATATTAATGCTGAATTGCACAGTTTAAAGGGGCTTAAGGCCTGAATCCCAGTATGGAGACTCTCCAAAATATCAAATCCCTGACAGACTATAATTATGGATGATGAATTGTCCGATCATACACACCACACTTTGTCTCTGAACTTTTGCTAACCCCAACTCTTCAGACTGGCATTGTGCCCTTCCCATGTCCTGTCTTTAAATCATAGTGTGACTGTGTATTCATATCCACCACAAAGGGACGGTGTGTGGTTTAATGTCCTAAAGGTCTGTATTAGAGAATCCACCACCTGCACAACGGCTCAGGGAACCATGATTCACCCTGAAAAATCCAGCCTCCAAAGGAAGAGACATTTACATGAAAATAACAACGCTGTCCCCCATCCCCTCAACAAGTAAATCTCCTCTATTGCCTTTGTGCAGTGTCTCGTCGTGTCTGCGTGACATATCTGGCCGGAGCTTTAGCATCCACTGACAGATTTACCAGGGAAATGTACACTTGTGTCGGGCTTGTTTTTACATCTGGGTCTAGGGAGGAGAGTACAGCTCCGAGCCAAAACAGAGGAGGAGAAGAGGGGACACGAAGACAGGCGGAGGATATATGACATTAGAATGCGCACCACACACACAGGATAAAAAGCGTTCACACAGTCAATCACAACAACTAGCTCAAGTCCAGCAGGGTTGCTCGGATACTGTTGCCAAAAGCATGTGGAGAGCAGTTTACGCTGAACGTTCCCTTAACCTTGGACCAGACGGATCTCTCCCAGAGAACATACAGTTACACATCTGTTCGTAACACAACAAGATGCTACTGCTGGAAGACAACATGTCTGCAGGCCTCAAAACAGCCCTAAATATAAATATGACATAAATACACAACAAGGTGAGTCAGCGTTTCCGTGTCTTGTCTCTTTTTAACACTTTGTAATGACTGATCCCAGAGAGAAGTGATGATAACTTTATTAATAAACGTTTTTCGACAACAGGCCTGCTCAGCCGTGTGCAATTCATATTTAACGTCATTACAATGTGCACATTTATGTTAATTTAAATATATTCATTCCAATTTTTTTTATCTTTTATTGGACCTTTTTGCTTTAAAGTGGACCTATTATGCTATATTGGAAACATATATTGTAGGGCCATACCTATACAAAATATGTCTGTGAAGTGTTTTGCTTAAAATACCAAACAGATCACCCATTGTAGCCATGCCTCATACTGCTCACACCCCTCTTTTGCAGCCCTCTTACACCCCATTCACACCAACGGTGTTTCAGGGCCGGTTCGGAGCTGGAGCTTGAAAAGCACCGGGTTTTCCTGTTCACACCGCAGCGGAGCAGCCTCTAAGCTCCGGAATCCGGTTCGTTTCGAGAATAGAGAAACGCGGATTTTGGGTTCTTAGCTTGAAAAAAGAAAAAAAGAGGAGGCGGAGCTAATGCCTGATCAGAATTCTACCGGAGATAAAGTTAAATTCTGTTGTGATAAAACGCCATCCTGTTCTAAACCACATCAAGGATTATTTCTGAAACAGTATGGAGCTCAAATGCTTTTTCTCTTGCGGGTTTACCACAAGGTGAGTTCCTTTTTTTATTTCCTGCTTTTTAAACACATGTGCTCTCCAGTAGAGGTTAGCTCTGAGTGTTAGCGAGGCTTGCTAGTGTAAACAAAGACGAGATTATGTCCAAAACACGTCAGGCATTGTTTCTGATAGCAACTTTCTGTGGGTCCGCTGCGTGAGTTCCCTGACACACCGGGGACACATATTTATGTATAAAAGACATAAAAAAGTGCATTTTGCATAATAGGTCCCCTTTAATTTCTTATATTGTTTTCTATTATTTTTCTTTCATAAGGACAATGCTCACACACATTACAGACAGAGCAAGACAATAACAGGGGGTGAGGGGGGGCCAAGGGGGGTTACACTTTCAATTCAATTTTACGCATAAACGCATTGTATTAATACATCATTTACTTCATAACATATATATACACTTTCATTATTAATACATAAATAAATGTATATATATATCATTTTCTCCATTTCTCTCACTTGTTTTATTTTTATTGAATTTTTTAATGAAGGAGAACGGCCAAGACATTAATATTTTGTTTATATTTTATTTATTTATTCTAAAATTATGCAAATAGAAATAAAAAAATAAAAATGATGTAATATTTTCAATACACTGTTTGCTAATGGGACACTGTTACTCGGTTACACAGTTTAGGTGTGACACGCAGGGATGAAAATTGCAATAATTGAGATGGAGTGATGGCGGATTACATTTCTGTCTGAATAAAGGAACTTCAGTCAACGATGGAGGCGTAGCTCCAATAAAGACATCTGTTTGGCAAAAGTTCCCAGCAGAGATCCATGCCCTGACCTGGGAGAAGAGAAAAAGTGTTTCAACTGTTTCAACCTCTCCTGGGATGTGTGTCTTTAGCTGTAACAAAGAGAGCACTGTGAGCTATACGCTCCTAGATAGGGTGGTTCATTTCTCTAAACTCATCAGTATACCATTGTAAATCTGGAGTTGCTGAATGCTTGAACATAAGACAAGGAAGGAAGTTACAGCCTTAAAAAACAACAGGTGCTTCAAATGATTCATATCACTAAAAAGAAGCTGATATTATTTGCAGATCCATCACAATTTGGAAAGACATCGACTGAATTGCTGAATAATGTACGTCAAAGTTCACAGGATAAGATTGATAGCCTGGTCTACTGCAGATGTTTCCAACTTTTTCATGAAGTTTGAATTAAATAAAATATATCTGTGGCTGAGAGGGTGTGTGGCATCGCGGTTACTTTCACTTCCAGCTCATTCCAGCTGTAAGCAGATCTTCTAAAAGGCCAAACATCTGCACAGTGACCTCAAATTGACTTTCATTTCAGGACAAAATCATCTTTAACTTGAAATAACTGATTTAAAACGCTCTGCAATTATTAGCCTGCTGGGTGTGTAATTGATACAAGAAGCGATTACAGTAGTTCTGTTTGGATTGTTGTTCAGAACAATGTGAAGGATCTGCCAGCAGCCGCAGCAGGGCGTACCAGCTAAGAGGCAGAATGAAGAACAGTTTATGTCTCATTTACTCAATGTGGTAGCAATCGTTGTCTACGGTAGTCCTTTAGAAGTCCTAAAAACTCAAGAAGGAACAAATATTCTGACACACCTAATGAGCTTACTCTATACATAAAAAGAATGTTAAATACAAATATATATTTGGAATGCACACTACTTGGTCACGTTATTAGGTACACTCATGTTTCAAGTATTCTACCTGTAGGAATCTTATAAAGGCCTGTTTCTGTTTAAACTTGAACACTATAACATTAGATCTTACTTTACACTGTTGCCTTACTGTTATCAAAAAGTGTGGTTCTCAGCTGACAAAGGATGATACTTTGTCAGCTGAGTTTTTAAAGAAGTCCATACTCAAACCATCTGCTAGACGTCTTGGTTTAGAGTCTGATCCTCTGAACTTTGACCCTCACATTAAGAAATCGCTTTAGTCTCGTTTGTGGAACTCAGGAATATTGCTAAATCTGTGTAGCTTTGCCTAAAAGCATTGTAGAACACAGCATCAATGCTTTTATCTCTACCTGCCTGGATTACTATAGCTCCCTATTTTCTTCTTTAAGCGAGTCTATTGGTTCAAAACTCATATGGATGATTGAGTCATACATATGAGTTTTGAACCAATAGACTCTGTACTAAGATCACTCAGATTACTTAACATTTCTCTTCAATATCCCATGACCAAGGCTCACATAGGGTTGGATACATGGATACAATTTGTCCATTCTTTTTTGTGGGTATGAATAACATTCAATGAGCTAAAATATATAATATGAGCTGATAAGTTGCAGACTACACTGCTTTCCCCAAATTATTTAATTTAATAAAATCCTTGTTTGTGTGTACCATTAAAGACTTGTCTCATTTTCACTCCATTATAATGCACTCGCTGTTACCACAAAACAAAACACTGCTATTTCTTTACCTCTAACTGAGCTCATGTGTTACTCACCTATTGTTGCCGTTTGCTCTGGGTCAAATGTGTCATCTGTGAATCTCAAAAGAAGGCTGTTGACAGGAAGAAGGAAATAATTAGATCACGTAATATATCACTAACACAACAGAAGTTTGTTTCAGTTATTCTATTCCACACAGGTTGAGAAGTCGTTTGGTCTGGGATCAGGTTTCAATTTGCATCGTTTAGATAACAGGACAAGCAGCATCTCACTGAGTTATGTATCTGTTTCTCTTTCTATTGACGTCTTTGATCTACACTTGCATTAGTCGTACATGCGGCAGATGATATCACCGTCAGATTGCAGTGAGGACAGGGTTCATTTCTTAACTATGACTAATCAAGTGCTAAGGCCATAATCGCAGCGCTGATGATGGAATAAGTGAACCCTCTTTCTCCTGACCCAAGCCTAATTCTCTTATTTTTCCTCATGGGGCATGAGGAAGGATGCTGGAGCGCTGACTGTTTATTGTTAGAGGGCCATTCAACTGATGAGCTATGCTATGAGAACAGCCAAGTAAGACATGTGTTCTGTGTAGGTCATTTGTTACGGTAAAATAAAACTTGTGTATTCAATGCCAGGCATCCCTGATGATTTAAGGGCTTCAACAGATTGCAGGGAGCCATATTAAATATCTGCATGCAACTTCAAAAATAGTCTAACCCTTGCCATCTTGACAATTGTACAGCTGGCTCGGGAGCATTCAAATCATGATATTGGAAACTAATGATAGACTGAAGTTTATTGTATTAAGGAAAAGCCTATTTCATAATAATAATAAAACAACATTGCATCCTTGAAAACGCCCTTTGGCTCAATAATGCACTAAAAAGGCAGCGTTTTGTTTTCTCAAAATATAAGCAAATCTAGGTCTATGTCTAGGTTATGGTGTTGGCATAATCTCAGTCTCTCCTCTGTGCTCTGTCACTACAGAGCTGCCATCACATTAAGAACACTAACAGCACTACTGGAGAAAAGTGGGAAAGAAAACAAGACATTGCTACTGTTATACTAAAACAGGCCCAGATTCAAGATTTAAGTGAGCCTGCAAATAGGATGATGCCAAACAAATGGAACAGAGGAGGCAAGATGCAATATAGAGTCACATTTGTGCTGACATTTGAGGATGTTAAGTGCATGAATTAGTACAAACATTTGAGATTATGTACTTTCTCGACTAACATTTGGCTGAAGGGTATACTCATTCCCTTTAACATACGATATCTTGTTGATCATGCTGACGATCTCATTTTGTTCTGATTACTACACACTTTTGTGGTTCACTTTGTTATTTTAAGAATATGTGGCCCTGTCATCAGTTTGCAGTGATACATGATTATTAACCAGACAGTTCCCATGTCAAAAGGCTTACAATAAAACTTTGGGCAGCTCATTACCTATGTACCATGCTATGACTATGGAAGGCATGCAGTACTAGATACCATAGACTGCAATGTGATGGTTGATGGATCAGGCTGGCTATCAGGATTCTTTCATGCAGTCTGGACCACAGAGGTGGATGCCAGAAAAACCTCAGCACTGCCAGACTCAGTAAAAACATTATACTCTACCTTGAATATTAGGCGGATTTGTGGTTGCTAACAAGGACCTGCTTACCACATGTTGGCAAAATCAAATGTGATGTAAAAGCTATACAGCAGTCTTTGAAGAGGCCAAACAAACTGAAACATGACGTTTCACATGTAGCTATTTCTTTAAGATAGTGCTAGCTCTGTTCATATTGATGTGTGATAAATATATTTATTACTGCCAGATAAAGTAAGATTAGAAATAGGGAATAGTTCGTGCAAAGCCGTCTCGATTGCAACATCTGTCAGACATGAAATGGGTGATGTCACACACAGCTACCTTCAGTTAGCTAAGGTTAGCTTGGCTGCCAACACCATAAACTGTATTTAAATTTACAACGTAACATCAAGGTCTGGTTTTTACATTAAAGAAGAAAACCACTAAAGCGGAGTTTAAAAGTCATTTTAAAATGCCGCATTATCTTTGAACATCACACAATTTGGTTGGCTGCTAAGCTAACGCTAGCTATCTCACTTAGCAGTGAGCCACGACATCATTTTCTTTGAGATAACTACAGCTTACCTTGACTTCCCAACACCACTTTCCCCTATTATCAGTATTTTCAGCGTCGTTAGTGTGTCGTCTTCCATTTTTCTTGAACAGTGAGCGGTGTTACTCTTGATAAACGGCTAAAACAGCCTGCTTAAAACGGCGTTCCTCGGTTACTTGCGTTCCTGTTTACAGCTTGCTACAAAGATAGTGGTTAATGTCTTGTTACGAAGACGCTTCACTCCAACTATATCCGGTTGGATTTTTGGCACTTCCGCTTGTCCAGTAAGTGATGGGTTATTGATTACATAACAAAGCAGACCCTGGGATTATGATTATATATTGCATACAAATGTGTGTGATTTACTTACAATACAATAGGACACACTTGGATGAAAAATAGGTCTAATGAATTTCTTATTTTTTTGTATTTGCATTTTATAATTGAATCATTCTCTTCAGGGATGAAAACATACAAGGTTACTGTGCATATAGCGTATGCCCTTGAACTACTTGTATTAAATATGTTAATAATACTAATTATGTATTTGAAAGGAAAACGCTTTCATTGCATTTTGTATTTCTAGTTGACATAAATATAATGGGCAGATGTTATATTATAAATATACATAAATAACGTTTTAGATGAAAACATGGCAGAATATATAATGCATGCTATGCTCTGAACTTGAATTACATATGTAGCTCATTGTTATTGACTAACTGCTCTTCAGTATCATCAGAAATGTTTTTAAAACATTGGAGCATGCCTCTAGCCATCAGCCTTATGTTGCATTTTCTTCAGAACAGGTGGGATGATCTACCTCATTGGTACAGTTAGCGAAACAGGAAGACACAGACATTTGTTGTACTTTATTTAATAAATAACTCAAACAGCATTGGGAGAGAACAAGATATTGAAATAAAAGGCACTTTGAAAACAATACTGTAAAGGCTTATGTGTGGTACTTCAGAGGCATTGGGAGGTGAAATCATTTCAGAGGTGATTCATGTGAATACGGAACAGAAAACACTCTTGTTTCCGTCATATGATCTCAAAATTGACAGAATGACTCGCACATATGAGTTCACTAGTTTACGAAAATAAGCCAACACAAAACATATTTTTGGCGTACTTGACAAGAACACAGGAAAGGACCTGAGAAAGAGTAATAAAGTTACTGCAGTAAGCAAGTACAACAATGTTCAACGTTAAACTTGTATCATAACTATACAAATCTGTGGATTGTTCAACATTGCCACAATATCATAATTTCAACAAGTGGTATACAGTCCCTTTGTGATAACAACAATTCTTCATATTGTGTATTTATTTACTCCTTCAGAACAATACTCACAAAGAGTGCATTAAAATGTGAAGCTGCAGTTCAAAACTACATTTACAACCACACCACTGTTTCAACAAATGGTCAAATTAAAGTTGAATGTGAAATATTATTCAATACTTAAAGGTCCCATGTCATGGCCATTTCTACTGATCATAATTCCATTGTTGAGGTCTACTAGAATAGATTGACATTGTTCAATGTTCCAAAATCACATTGGTTTTCTCATACAGCATCTCTGTGTAGTATGTGTATTCACTCTCTGTCCTAAACACCTTTGTGGAGCTCCTGTCAGCCTGAGCGCACACACACGTGAGTGTGTGGCAATCTGTGAGTGGAGATCCAAGCAGCTGCGGCTGAGAAAAGATAAGGCTGAGTGTGCCGGCAAAACTCCGTGGAGTATCGCGGATTTGCGGCTGAGAAAAGATAAGGCTGAGTGAGTGTGTGTGTGTGTGTGTGTGTGAGGAGCTCCACGGATTGGTCCATTTGGTCGTCGTTACGTCACTTGGTACCAGGAAGAAAAAAGAAAATCTCCACTGAGGCGTTCTGGGGCAGCAGATAGGTATTTTCTGTGTTAGAGTTTTACTCGCTACAGGGTGTACTTTGAGGGTTTGTGACTCTGCAGACCATTTACATGCATAAAAACCTTCATAACACACAAGGGGACGGGTAATAACCGGAATAGCATGACATGGGACCTTTAACATTTCAGTTGTTATCTATATATATATACACACACACACACACACACACACATTGACCTTATGTGCTGCTATGGCTGACAATTTACATATAGAAGTCATGTCCTGTCTGACACACAGAGACACACAGGAAGTCAGTGCACAGAGAGACGAAGAGACAGAGAAGTGTCTGAGAACGAGACAGAAGCTGCAGAATAATTGAATATCCATAGTGTCCATATTGTGCTGTTAAAAAAAAGGTGTAATCCTCTGCCATACCAGTCCTGTGGCAGGAAGAGAACACCTTCATGTCATTGTTTTTTGCAAATATGCAACTTAAAAGTATATACACATACTGTATACTGTACATCTAAAATATCACAAATGCATATAAATCATAGGTGTTAGTGGCTGGGTACATTATAATGGTGAAGCAACAAAAGGAAATGACAGAAACTCGACCACAGGTTCCTCCCCAGACCTGCGGTAAATACTGCAGTTGTCGGATACTTGATAGCAGAGTTCATGGAAAACCGTGACCAGTTATTTTCCTTCATATTTTGGATTGACCACAGTCGTGACAGCACTTTTGTAGATGGGATTTTCACCCTGGAAAGCAAAGAAATTGAAGTTATAATCATGTTATTGCTTAGTCAGACAATTTGCGAACACACTTTGTTATTAGGGATAAGTCTACTACACCTTCTTGTAGGTAATTTGTTTAAATCACACTTAGCACACCGTCATGCTTTTGCGACTTCACACCAAATATCAGGAGGTTTAAATTAAGCATCATATTTAAACACATTTTATACTTACCAGAGAAGGTTTTAGTATTTTTGCCCTGTAGACACTTTTAGCTGCATTGATATTCACAGCACACTCATGCACTCATTTCTCACGAAATTTGAAAGTAATATGTCTCTTCCAGATGTTCCACTTGTGAAAATGTAGTTCATAGTTTGAAAAGACAGGTGAAATAAAGGAAAAAGTAGATACTCAGTGAAAAATATAACATTATAAAAAGCCCATGCAGGAAAATGAGGTGGAAAGGAGAGAAAATACAAACTTAAAGGACAGCAGCTTTACGTCCATAGCTTGGATTCTGGAACTGATTGATAGGACTCTTGTATATTGGGTTGTCTTGCTATGGGTAAAGAATGAGGAAAGAATAGAGTTGAGCAGGAAAAACATAGAACAGGAACAAAGGAACGAATAATATAAAAGGCACTATAAAAAGGGAGAAAAGTATGAATAAAGAACAGTAAGAGTGATGAAAGGAGGACAATGGAAGAAAAATGATTTTGTGGAACATTGACCAAATCCATTTTTACTTACTAAAACTGTTGAGGCTACAGATCAGGATGATGTGGTTGTAAACATGAGGAGATCACAAAGTATCTTTGGAATTCCTTAAGGCTGCTTTTGTAAGGAAACCCAGGGCAGAACAGTCTCTCATTTCTTCAAATTAAAGGGATGTGGAGCCATAGGTTGCCCTGCCCATGGTAATAAGTAAGACCCCAGCATACTGATCAGGAACATCTGCATCACCAAACCCACATTATATATATATATATATATATAATGGCGCTATGACACAATTTCACCACTAGGGGAAGGCATTGAGCTGCACATGGAGTAGTGCTGAAGTCATATTGATGTTGGCTGATGGGCAGGAAGTATGGAAGGGAGGAACTGTGGCCACTCCCCGGAAAAAGTTCAGCTATGCTCAGACTGCATAACATTCCCAAAAAAGTCCACACAGTGCCTGACATCTTTCCTTTTTATTTTGAGCGCTGGCGAGAATGTGAGCGAGACACTTTGACATCAACAAGTCTGCAAATCTCATCTGCTGCTTAGAACAACAAATCATCTTCACAAGTTAATTCCCTGACAGTTGTGGCTTTACAGAACACCTGTTTTCTACATTTAAATAACCTTACCAGCCAAAAATCGAAAATGTTATTCCTGCTAGTCTTTCACAACACTCACCGTATCCCATTTGGCGTTCATCTTCTCCTTCTCGAACTTGGCGAACTCTCTCCTGTCGTGGATGATCATGAGCAGCTTCCAGATGAGCAGCAGGGCTAAGCCAATCAGGACGATGCCGGCGACCACGCCTGCCACGATGGGGATAATGTCAGGCCCGGCGGGGCAGTCTGAAACACAACAGAGGTGTTTAGGCAGCTTGAAATAAGCGTGCAAAAAAAATGGCTGTTGTGAATAAACAAATGTGCTATTTTTGCAGCCCCACCACAGACCCTGTAATTAGCTTTCTCTGTAACAGAAACCTTCCACACCCTGGTTGGCCCAGCTTTCTGCTTACCGAGTATGTCCACCACATGCACCTCCTTCTGAGTGTTGTTGTTGACGGCGTAGGTGTAGTAGAACCAGCAGTCGTTGGCGTCTCTCTCCTTGCAGTGCATCACGGGGTAGGTGGCGTCGTTGGGCTGGGGCAGCTTGTCCCGGTCCTTCACCTTGATCAGGTTGAAGTAGCTGCAGTCTCTCTCACATGTTTCCTTCTTCTCACCCGTGCCAAACGCCCGGCACTGGACGCACTCCCTGGAAGATACAGGGTGTTTGTTAGTGATAAGCAACCAGATGAGCTATGCTTCACAAATTCAAAAGATCATATACAAATCTAAAATGTTTGCCCCCATTCCATGAACATGTAGGTAAATACAACTACATTGTGCACGTTCTGAACAATGGCATTATAAATTAAACAGCAGCATCCCTTTCCATAAATTGTGCTTTTTACTTTAGACCAGGATGTTTACAAACACTTTCAAATCCTTCATTTGTTTACATTTGTAATAGATTAGCGATATGAAAAGAAGGGCATAATTAATCTAGCAGTCCCTGTTTGCCGTAAACCAATAGATATGCAGATAGCAATAACAGGATTACAATCCTGAAGAAAATGTAATAGATGATGGAGGAGGCTGCTTTTTCAATTCATTCTGAGAAGATTTTTGGATGCTTCTTCAAAATGGGAAGAGATAATTGGATCTTCTGGATGTGTATTTCACAATGAATCTTAATATATACATATGCATGTCTGTTGTTTCAGATTTGACTGATTTTGATAAAAATCATGGGAATCTGGAGCTATGGGATTTACAGTACCTAACTTTAAATCTATTGGAAAGCAAGCGAAACCAGCAGCTATACTACGAAAACTAACTACGAATGCTGCTTAG